CTGGTTAACTTAATTCTAAACCTCAGTTTCTACACCTGAAAATTGGAGATTAAAAGAGCCACTCTGCTTATATCTCAGAGCAGTTATAAGGATCATATGAGATAATGAGAGTGAAAGCCCTATGGAAAAGGGTAAGGCGTTATAAAAGTGTAGGGGATTATTGTGTGATTACTTGCAAATGACTGTGCATTCCATTACAAATACAAAAAGCAGTGAGATCATTCGCAAGACAAAGAAACATTAAGGCTCTGGGAATTAAGGGAAAATGATTTGATGTTCTACGGGGTTATGTCTATATGCCACTCACTCTTGCAGTTCAAAGCTCAGCAGCAGCTGTCAGATTTTCCAACTCCAAGTCACATATGTCTACAGGATGGCTCAAGACAAAATCTCCCTTTTCAGCTAAAAGCAAATGCTGGGCCAAAAGGAGGTAATAGAGATGGACGTTTCAAAGACCCCCTGAGATTCTCAGTTCCGGAAATGTGGCCTGCGATGTTTTCCTTGGAGAAGCTGTTAGAAACACAGGCTCCAGTCTCTCTGAAATAAGCCCGTGGGGAAATAAACATACAGTAAGGAGCTATTTTCCAGAGAGCACTGAGGATGCTCCCAAGCATGAATTAATCAAGGGCACAGGGTATTTCAAGCTGCAGATACCAAAGAGCTAGTAATCTCCAACCCACTGAACCTTCCAGCCCAGCTCACAAGCTTACCCTGGAATTCTAGCATCCCTAGCAGTGCACAGCAGGCTGAGCCAGCAGATGAGGCTCATTTACATACCAGGTCTTGCTGAAGATCACCTGGGGGCCGCAGGGGACCCAAGGAGCTCTGAGAGCAAGCTGGTCTGGCTTCCTTCGGGCCTTTCCCAACATGCTACTTGTCGGGATTCTCTTCAATTCCTGAAAAGAGCCAAGTCATCTCTGTCATTTGTAGAGGGGCCGGATCTTTGCCAGAAATCCATTCCCAAGGCTGATGAGCACAGAGCCCAGTGAGGACTGTTTTCTGGTTGCTTTTTATCATTTGATTCCTGTGCTGATCATTTGAGAAAGGCACTAAAGTAATTTATGGCATAGATGTGTGAGCATCTACTCTATGTGTGTGTGCTTGAATCCCCAGTGATGTTACAGCAACAAGCTGTGAGATACAAACAACTTCAAGGAGCTCACAAATCCAGTTCAAGACAGAGACTGACTGCAATTGAAGGACAAGATGTTGTAAACTCTATGAGTTCTGTAGAATCCCTCCCAATGGCTGGGTTAGACTTTTGGGCTAGGAATTAAAAGAGGATGGGGCAGGGGGGCACAGATGAAGGAGCAAAGGGCATTCCAGGCAGAAGGAAATATTTAAGCCAGACACAGTGGCATATGCCTATGGTCCCAGCTACTTAGGAGGCCAAGGCAGTATTACTTAAGCCCAGGAGTTCAAGACCAGTCTGGGAGACATAGTGAGATTCCCATCTTGGAAAAAAAAAAAAAAAAAAAGAAGAAGAAGAAAAGAAAAGATTTGAACCCTAGCAATGACTGAAAAGATATGACAAAGACCAGCAAGTTAAAGTCAAGCTTAGAAAATGTGGGCCGGGCATGGTGGCTCACGCCTGTAATCCCAGCACTTTGGGAGGCTGAGGCAGGTGGATCGCCTGAAGTCAGGAGTTCAAGATCAGCATGGCCAACATGGTAAAACCCCATCTCTACTGAAAATACAAAAACTAACTGGGGGTGGTGGTGTGTGCCTGTAATCCCAGCTACTCGGGAGGCTGAGGCAGGAGAATGGCTCAAAACTGGCAGGAGGAGCTTGCAGTCAGCTAAGATGATGCCACTGCACTCAAGCCTGGGCAACAGGGTGATACTCCGCCTCAAAAAAAAAAAAAGAAAAAGAAAAAGAAAATGTGTAGGTCACTAGTGAGAGAGGTGGGCAGACAGATAGAAATAAACAGAAGTTAACTCAGAAAGATAGATTGAAGTCAGTTTATTGTAGGCTAAGGTAATTGAATTCTCTTTCTAAAAGCAGAGTGAGAAATAAATAAATAAATAAATAAATAAATAAATAATAAAAGCAGAGTGCTCCTTTATTTTGAGATGCAAAGCTCTGATTACACCACTGATGAGGTTAAGAAAATAGGCTCTTTTGACTCCTTGCTGCCATATAATAACAACAATAACTACTAAAATGTAATGAGTGTTTACTCTGTGCTAGGTATTATGCTAAGCAGGTTACATACATTATCTCATTTAACGCCAGCAATGACCCTGTGAACTAGCCACTCTCACTCCCATATTACAAATGGGAAAACAAAAACTTAAAGGAAAAGTCAGATGCTCAAATCTCAGAAATAGTAAGTGTACTCCCCAGTTTTGGTCTTCTTTCTCATTGCCCAGATTCTCCCCATCTCACTTCTAAGAGATCAAATACTCTTCACATAACTAGCGTGCATAACAATCCCGTATCACAAAAATATCTGTCTCTGAAATAGTTGACACAAGTTTATATTTGTTTCTGTCTCTCCATTAGATCCTTGGGATCAGGAATCTTGCCTTTCTTGTCAGTCAGTGTACACAGTGAACACTCAATAGATATATATTTAGTCAGACAATGTCTGTGAAGGTTGAAAGTTAACACAATACTGGCTATAATTTCAGACCTTTTTAGCACAGATACTGCACCAATCTCAGCAAGGTTCCCGGAGTCCAAAGGGGAGACGCAACCAGGTTGCAAAATGCAGGTCAAAGACCTTGTGCACGGGACATCCTGACGGTCCTGCAGCTACTCCGTGGTTGCAGGACCCTGAACCTCCAGCAGGTGTGCCAAGAACCAAGATCTTCACAGGGAGCTGGACAGATAAACCTTTCCTTGAAAAAGTGAAAAGGCCACGTCCCACTGAAATGGGGATTTGAATTAAAGAAGGTGTGTCTAACAAAGTGGCCCAGGGGTAAGGGAGCTCTAGGCTGAGAGGTCTTAGACCCATCACATCTTGTGACTCGTGCTAAGCCACTTTGTGTCTCCTTGTGCTGAACCACTCTGTCTCTCAGTGTTAGCAAAAGGAAGGGTAGACGCAGCGGTTTTTTAACTTTTTTATGTAGCAGCAGAACTTTTCCTTTAAATGGATGCTTTGACGATGCTTAGCTTACAAAGTAGGTAAAAGCAGAGCTGCTCAAGTTGGCTCTAGCAGTCCCCTTCCTTCCTCCACTTCTCACCACTTTTCACCTCCCTCCATGTTATAATCCCCAGGATGACTCCTGGAGTCTCTCAGGCTCAGAAGAGCACAGCTTGAAAACCGTCAGCCTTATGAGCTCTTCATAGTACCTTCCAGGTCTGATTCCAGTAAATTCCAAGGTCTGACGTATACCTCCTTAACAAGCAGCTCTGCATTTTTGCCAGTGGGACAGGCAATACATGGTGTAGATGGGGAGCAGCAAGGAAGAAAGAAGTCTCCAATTAAATAACTTAGATTATACCCTACTTACAGCCAGGTGCAGTGGCTCAGGCCTGTAATCTCAGCACTTTGGGAGGCCGAGGCGGGTGGATCACTTAAGGTCAGGAGTTCAAGACCAGCCTGGCCAACATGGTGAAACCTTGTCTCTACCAAAAATACAAAAATTAGCCAGGCGTGGTGGTGCCCACCTGTAATCCCAGCTACTTGGGAGGCTGAAGCAGGAGAATCGCTTGAACCTGGGGGGCAGAGGTTGCAGTGAGCCAAGAATGCACCATTGCACTCCAGCCTGGGTGACAGAGCAAGACTCTGTCTCAAAAAAAAAAAAAAAAAAAAAAGATTATAATCTATTTAGCACCTGTGTTCTCTCAAGCAAGTTATAAGCAAGTTATTTCATCTCTCTAAACCTCAGTTTTCTCATCTGTAAAATGGAAAATAATATTGTTTACCTACTAAGGCTTTTATGAGAATTAGCTAATAAACTAGTTGACAGAATGCTACAATATTACAATCATTCCATCCATAAATGTTTCTAAATCCTCAAATGGAAAAGCAGGCAGTACTGAGTTCAGGGCAAAAAAAAGAAAAAAAAAGGTGCTCAATAAGTAGCAGGAACTGGTTCCTTTCCTCCCTGGCACTTACCAACATGTTCAATTTGAACCAACAACATGACAGCAAGCAAGAGTTACTGGATGAAACACATTTTATGTCCCAAATTCTCTACAGCTCATCTTTGAAAATCTTAACAGCTTATCTCTGAAATCTCTGAAACTCACGACCATCTTACACTTCCAAGAGTGACACCCAAGACAGTGGAGGATAAAGAAATGTGAGTTGGAGAAAAACACTGCTCCAGGTCATTGGCACAGGAAGAAGTGTGAAACATGGCATCCCCACTCCTGACTTCCACAGCAACCAGCCAAATGGCCAGAGAAATCCCATCTGCTCTCCAAGTCTCAATTCCCTTGTCTGTAAAACAGGAACAAGAACAATCCTACCTTCCCCGTCACTATGATGTTGTACGAACAAAGAAGCCAACAGGTGTAAAAATATTTCATATAGCTCTACGACTATAAAAAATATTGCCATTTTTATTAGAAACTCAAGTAAAAAGTTGAAGCACTGCAAAAAGTTACTTAGAATGTGCCCAAAATGTAAGAATCACCCCTACTCCAATTGCAAGATTCCCTATAGCCCACCTGAGTTACTGCCGAGATTCCCGGCACATCCTAAAGATGCATTTCGTTGAGATTTTCCCAGTTGACTCATCACCAGTTTTCTAAACAACACAAATGACAGTATCTACTCACCCTCAGGCCAGCCTCAAGACCTCCAGGATGAGCCCAATCTATGTGTTTAGCCATATCTCCCTTTATATTGCTGGAAGAACCCCTGGTCCCAGGCAAGAGCGCACCCTCAATTCCGCAGGACTCAAAACTTGGCTCATGCTTTCCCCACCTTGTACTGTGCCTCCAAATCTGAGTGCAAAATCTCTTTACTGTACAGTGGGGAAGTGGGCCCTTGGGAGTGTTTTGTGATTGGGGTATGGTCAGGAATGTCTTCACTGGCCCACCGCTTCTCTAAAGATGGCCCCACCAATTCCCAGTGCATAAACATCCACATCAAGATAAAAAGGAAGATGTCTGTAGTTCTTTGTAGTCCACAAAACTTCTCACACATCTCCTCTTTTTAAATGCTTAGTATCAGATGTGTCCATGATGCCTATTTTACAAATTTTACAGTAAGTGGCTGAGCCAGTAACCATGTGCAAGCCTTTGGCACCAAAGCCTGTGCACACTGCTCTCTCTTCCCCCAAAATGGGTGTAATTTAAACCCTGCTTATAGGCCAGGCATAGTGGCTCGTGCCTGTAATCCCAGCACCTTGGGAGGCCAAGGCAGAAGGACTGCTTGAGCCTAGGAGTTCGAGACCAGCCTGGGCAACATAGCGAGATCTTGTCTCTACAAAAAAGAGAAAAAATATATATACCTATTTGATATGTATATGTATTTAAATATATGCATATCCTTAAATATATGTATTTAAATATATGTAAATATAAAATACATCTTTTAATATTTTTATTATATTTTATTATAATGAAATTATATTATTATATATACTATATTAATATAAAATAAATTGTATTATATGTTGTTTTATAATTTACTATAATTATATTATATAATATATAATTTATAAAATTATGTATAATTTAATTATAACAGAATTATATATAATTATAATATACAATATATACTTGATATTTTTATTATAAATATTTTTATTATAAATAAAATATATATAAATTGCTTTTCTTTCCTTCTTTTTGCCAGCAAATATATATAAAATAAACCCTGCAATAAAAGGTACAGGAGGGCTGGCTCCACAGCCAGCTCACCACATGACACTGGACAAATCACTTTCCCTCTATGAATCACAGTTTCTTCATCCATAAAATGAGGTTTCTAGAGTCACCTCATACATCTACACACCCTTTTCCCTCCCAAGGAAAGGCTTCAGAAATGAAACCTTCATGAGGAGCGAACAAGGTAACATCTCACATATGTTTAGTCAGCTCCATCCCTGAGCTTCCCCTCCCAACCTCGAAAGCGCATCCAAAAAGAAGGAAAAGGGACCAACGTGAATATCAGAAAGCACCGGGACCCTGCAGGGCAGCACAAGGAACGCACGCGGCTGCCATCCCCAGGCAGACAAGCAAGCCACTCCTCAGGAACAACTGCAGTCATGGTCACAGCGCATGAACCTTGTCAGCAAATTGCTGGTTTGAATGGCAATTTTTTAAAAGCTCAAGATGCAAGAGCATTGATGCAGACAACAGTCTGCTCCCTACATGCCTCATGGCTTATGGGCCTCACACAGGAGTCCACGGAATAATCTCTCTTTTTCACATCTCTCTTCAGTGTCAGCAAGTACTGCTGCTGCCTGACCACAACTCTTGCTTGGATATGGAGATGGTATCTGTGTGGCAGGCCACTGTGCCCTTTCCATGTATTCTCTAAAAGTCCAAATGCTGGCTGTCAGGGCCCTCCCAGAACCACAGAATCCTAAATCTGGCAAAACTCAAGTACCCACTCATCTAACTCCCGTAAACGACAGCTGGAGACATTCATTCATTCAAAAAGCACTACTGATGTTTACACGGTGCATGGTGTCAAGACGAAGCTACGTTGCTGCTCTCAAGGACCTGCTCCAATATCTTAAATGGCTTCCCAATGGCAACAGGGGAAGTCCAAGTGTTTAATCTCACAGCTCCAGGTTCTCCATAACCGGGACTGAAGCTTCCATTGCCACCGTAAACTTTCTCCCATTGCCGCTCAACATACATTCTTTGCTTTATTCAAACTAAACTCTTGGCTCACCTTGTCCCCTCTGCTTGACCTGCTATCCTTCCACCCCCAACACCAAAT